AACAGAAGTGGTGCTACTCATGCTCATGTTGAGAGGCTAATAATCTACCCTCCTGCTAGCCACCGGAATACCCACAGGGGAGAGCGTCACTGGAAATCTGTTTCTCTGCGACCACTAGTTTTGAATTAAAATACCTTAGACGCTGTAGAAGTATTAGGGGTCAGTAAACAAAAGGTAACTATTTCTCTTTAGATGTTGAATATTTACAGGTGAGTAGCAGGTGTAAGAAAAACACCCGTGTAATAAATTTAGCTAAGAAGTCATTACCTTGACTTTTTTCTTTAGTTGATTTTTCCTTTTTAAATGGCTACCAAAGTTTTGATTATAATCAACAAACTGGGAAAAAATCGTTATGTTTCTCTCTCATGCACCAAATTCCTGACAGTGCCCCCTTAGTGTTGCAGTGATGCAATTTACCTGGCTTAATCACAATGACTATATCCTAAACCAATTATTTATAAGCCTGTTATTATTCTGCACCACATGTTTAATGTTGATTCAGCAAACCACCAGTGCCTGTGTGCTGTGAGGACATGGACAATGCCCTACCATTCCCCAAGGCAGATATCATACATAAATTCCTGGAAGACTGTTTAGAAGACAAAAATAAGGTCAGTAAAATTGAGTATTCATTTCTGGGAGCACCCAAAATGTCAGACTGGTGAGTATCAGAAGGTGGAATACCTGTAAATTGGTTTTTCTTCTTCTATAATACATCAGGCAGACAGCCTAATGGTAGTAGTCTAGTCATAGTTGTGCATGATGAATTCGCACAGTTATTAAATCCTATAATCTAACCTTTGGTCACAATTCTGATTAAAAAAGTATCTCGCTATAAAATGCTTTATTTAGTAATAGTTTGACTTTTACACTCCATGTCGTGTTTAAATAATAATTTTTCTGCCTCGAGTAAAAGAAGGCATTTTTTTGTTCCTGATGTATTACATACTGCTAATTTCCTGGCTGAGGTACTGTCAGGCATGAGCCAAGTTCTAGAGGTGAGTTAAGTAATATATTTCCTATGATTTATGCTGTTACACTGGGATTGGATCACGGATTGAATTTATTCTTCTGATTATTCATTATTTTATTCCCATTCTCACACATTCATCACCTCTTGGCAGTCTTGATATTGTTCAGTCTTTCATTTTGCTTATATGAACCCTGTATCCTTCTTTCACCTAGGGGGATGAGCACTGAGCCCGGTGGTCTAGTTGAAAGGCACACAATTTATGTGCCAGTACATCTCCTTTACTTTCTGCCCTAATGTCCTTGACTCTTACCTGCTCTAAGATTCTGTTTTCCCATCTTGTAGACACAGCATTACCCTCAAGTTTTTCCACTGTGGCACATTTCTCTAAGGAGTTAATTGACACAGAACCTAATGATGTACATGAGTAATTAAAATTATTCTGTCTGGTGAATGGTGCTTTGCTTCATTTCATCCTTCTTGCTTCCCCTTCTCTTGGTTCTGTTGGATCATCAGACATTTCTAGACATAAGTCCTTCTAGACTATTCACAGATTTTTGTCACACTGAGTTAATTTGCTTTTTTGATTACAGGATGAGCAGATATTATATAGATAGTAATCATATGAATAAATCTATGTTTACCATTAAGGAATCAATTTATCATTAAGGAAGCTTACTTGCCTTGTCAGTTATGAAATGTTGAAATACGTTCCAGTGCTGCTGTCACAGCATTACAAGGACTGACAGTCTTAATTGAATTATTTTGCACAAACCAGCCTTTGTGCTGCTTCACGGCTTTCTAACAATGTACATATTTAGACTGACTTTGCTGATCATACAGTGGCATAAATTAAGATGAACCAGTGTGGCATCATACCTGTACAACATATACATAGACCTTTAAAGAATAGGTAGAGGGAAATGCTCAGAAATTAGCCTTGAAATTGTTTCAGGGAAATGTCAGAAGTTGTTTGTTTTATTTTTGTTTGGCTTATGCACACTGCAAGATTAACAAATTCTTTGGTTTTGGTTTAGGAAAATACTTTTCCTGGAGGTCATCATCACAGGCCCCTTGAAACTTCGAAGCTCATGTTGTTTAAATTTCAAGCAATTCAAGGAAGTTTAAGCCAGAATGAAATTGCTGAGCAAAATGATGAGTTTGAGAAAGTGAGTAGACAGTTTGTTTACGTTTTATCTTGTGAAAACTATGTGCCGTGTACATTTCTGAGAAGAATTGTTAGTCCTTTTATAGACCTAATTTCCAGCACCTCAGAGGCCTTCCAGCAGATTTAATCCACGTTGCATCAGGAGCATCTACTCAAGTCTGCTGAGCCCTGCGTGGCCCGTGCCCTGATGCTCTCCGTGCTCCCTGAGGCTGCAGCCTCTCCTGTTTGCGGGGCACGGCGCGGCAGGGCAGCACCCCGGCGGTGCTGCAGAACGCGGTGCTGCAGAACGCGGTGCTGGAAGCCAGGAGATGGCGACATTTCAGGCAATCCTGCCCAGGACAGCCGCTGTGCTCTGCTGCTCTAGCTACAGCTGTGTTCCGGACAAAGTTGGCTTCTGATGACATCCCCGCTAATTCTCTGCTTTCAGGAGCATACACCAAACTCTTAAAAAGCCAGACCCTCTCAAATGCGCTATCCCTGCGTCCTTTACCATCAGCGACTTCGTATTTTGTGGCACTTTTGTTTCAAAATTATTTCTTAGACTTTATCTCTTTTTACCTTTTCCATAATGTTGCTTGCATCCAGTTCTTAAACCCTATGTCCTAAACCCAGCAGTGACGGAAATGGTCCACACGTATCTGGATCAATCAGGCTGGGGGAATGGGCCAATAGGAAACTCACGTAATTCAAGGAGGGCCAATGCAAGGCCTCGTACCGGCGGAGGAAGAAACCCTTGCAGCGATGCAGGCTTTGCACTGCTGCTCTGCTGAAAACGCCCGGAAGCTCAGCGTAGGCACAGGCTGAGCATGAGCCGTCTGTGTGCCCTGGCAGCAAGGGAGGAACAGCAGGGCCTGGGCTGTGCGGAGAGGGGCAGAGTCAGTGGATCAAGATTGCCCCCCTGTGCCCTCCCCAGCACTTATTAGCCCACATCTGTAACACTGCATCCAGGTTTTGGCCTCTCAGAGCAGGAGAGACATCAATAAGCTGGTAGCGAGGCACCTAGGCGGTGCCTGGGGGCTACAGCACTTGGTTAGTGGGGGAGCTGGGAGAACTGGGCTTGTTCAGGCTCTGGAGGAAGTTTTGGAAGACCTAATAGAAATCTTGCACCTATGAGGAGGGTATCAAGAAGATGGAGCTAGGGTATTCATAGTGGTGCGTGGTGGAAGGATGAGAACAAGGCATAAATTGAAACAGGAGGTTCAGACGGGATGCTGAGAAACCTTTTAACCCTGAAGACAGCCAAGCACCAGAACAAGTTGTTTAAGAGAGATTGTGCAGTCTCTGCCCTTGGAGGTTTTCAAGATTTGACTGGATAAATTCTGGGGCAACCTGCTGTAACCTCATAGCTGCCCCTGCTTCGAGCAGGAGGTCCCTCCCGACCTGAATCACTTTATGATGGTATAAAGTTGTTGGCAATGCATTCCAACACAATGTGCTGTAAAAGTTCCGTTGTATTCCATCATATTCTCCTTTCCTCAGCTGACTGTTTGTTTATTTGTTTGCTTTAAGCTTTCTGAAAAAGCAGAAGCTGCATTAAAACTGTGTGACAGTGAGATAATGCCTCTTACTAATTCTGTTCAGAAGTAAGTGACCATTGATTTTCTGACTTTTCACTGCTTTCAGGAAGTGCAGAACAGGAATGATAAGTTAGCTGACAGTTCTCATGTGATCTGAAAATGTGTTAAGAATATGGCAGTAGTAAATAAGTAAAGACATGGCCGTTCCTGCAGCAGAGCAGTACCTAGTGAATGGTGGCAGAGATGTATGCTGTACATAAACATTTGTATTTCATCTGTAGGAATAGATTATTATCCCTACACATAGATACACTTTAAAACAGTCAGACTTGTGGAAGTTTTTAGTATCTTTTTCCCATATTCTCATACTTTTTTTCACTACAGTGGATAAAGTAATTGCTAGACAAGATATTAATGAAATCAGCAGAGTCCTATTGAACAGTTATAAATGACTAAAGAAATACTAAGTTTGAGAAAAGGCAGAATGGAGATCAGGGTTTACAATGTGGAACACATGTTTCAACAAAACCCAGTGTTGCATTATGGTTTTATACTCTAATATAAAGTCATGTTTTTAATTAAAAAAACTACGGAAACTTTTAGTACAGATACGCTATTTTACGACATGATGTTTTGCAGCATTTCACATCCTGTGTTAAATACACGTCCCGTAAGAATGTAATAGAAACTGGTTTTCTGTTACCACCTGTATTTCAGAAGACATTGAAAATTTCAGTTCCAAAAAGTATTTTATCTTTTAAAAAAAACCCCATCCTAGTATATTTTACAATCTCCAAAACAGACTAAGTGGAATAGTTAGAGCTGTAAAAGGTATATAATACTCTTCAGGCTGTTAAGCTCTCCATAAGAAATCAACATGATTCTGTGTGAAATGTAAATAATATATATACTGTTCTTAAAGTCTTCATTTTTCGTCATCTAGGGCTTTACTACACCATTTGTCATGTCTTGAAAGTCTTGTTGAGGACAACAACGACCAGCAGGAGCAGACTGGTGATCAGGAAGATAAACAAGGAAAAAAAGAATAAACTGTGAAGCTGATATCTAAGAATAGTTTAATGTTGTGTAATTTAAATTGGTCAGCCTGACCACTGGTCAAAATTTTTTTGAAAGCTGATTTGTTGAAAGCTGATTTTTTTGGAAGCTGAAATGTTGATTTTGGTGTTTCTATACATACTCATTCTTTTCATTAGTTACTTCAAAGCTTAGTTGAGTATTAATGCTTCCAGTAGGATCTAACAGTATGTGGCAAGAGATAGCACTTTTTAAAGAATATTTAATTACAACAATGCGAACACTTTCATGGAAGAATCCACGTGTTTATAAAAATGTTCTAAAAACCTCCACTGTTGGGCCAACTCTATAGTCGTCCCTTATTACACGGCCTGTGAGAAACAGGCAGAGCTCAGTCTCGCGTGGAAGTTAAGTAGTGATGTTTAGCAATAATAAAATTAATGTCTTCAGTGCCGTTCTTTCTAACAGGACTTGAGGTGATGTAATTGTGGTCAGAGAACAAGGAGCGTACAAACTTACCAAATACGTTGTAGCAAAAAGTGTCTGAAGCCTTTTCTTCCGCATCTCAGTAACGCCTGGCTCTTTTGGGAGAGAAGGCACTGGTTTGGAAGTGTCCCTCTCAGGGGCATGGAATGTGTTACAGCTGAGTGGATCCAGCAGCTGGTTGTCACTGTTCATGGGAAGCCCTCATCTCCCCTCCCTTTTCCTTGGCTTTGTTCTTAGCTTTAGAGCGTACAAAATCCTTCACTGGTCCTAAATAGGCAGAGAAGTAACAGAATACGTTTTGTGTGGGGTTTTTTGTTTTTTTTTTTGGTGGCATAATTGAATGGAATTATGCTTTGAACGCCACTGATAAGCACTGGAACTTGTGCAGGGCAGAGAGGAGTAGGACTTAGGCTGTTTGACAACAGCAAATTGAGAGACAAAGCAAAAAGCTGTAAGCAGTAATTTACATCGTGAATTGAAATCTATTGAGAGAACGTGTTGAAAGAAGCCATTTGTACGTCTTCTGAGGTTATATAATGCAGCCTAGCACGTTATGCTGTCAGTAAACAAAATATGTATGGCAACATGCCTTTTGAGTGAACTGTTTCCTTTTAATCTGGATACTTGTAGGTACACATGAGACAGCAGGTACCTGAGCATGTACTTACGCTGAGAAATGAAATAGAAACCAGAAGAAAAGTAGGAGGAAGATTAGCTACGTATTTCTCCCATCTTCCTGTTAAGAATTAGTAAGTAGAGTCATAATAATGAGTTATGATTCTATGATTCTATAATAATAATAAATTACTTCATTTTATGACTGTCACAGCATCATGAGAACATGGGTAGATCATACATTATTATGTGCTAGTTATTTCAGACAGATTTTATTGGTGTTTCTCAAATGCTGAGCTAGATCTCAAATTAGAGCACATAAAACGAAATTAGCCCTCTAAAGAACTTTCCTGCAGAAACGTTTACAAACCGTCCCGTTGCTGAGATGTGACTGTACACACCAACTGATACCGTGGGTGTAACTGTTGTCTGTACTAAGACAGTATGTGTTTGCTAGGGGTCGTTTTATAAAGGAATTCAGGTGCTCAAGGAAAGATAATTCTTTTCTCAGAACGGATTTGCTCTGCTTCCGTACCGTGTGCGGACAGTAAGGCATCGTGTGTGTCTGCTGCATCGTTTGAGGTAGCACAGCTGGGACTCGGCACGAGTGCAGCACTGCCCGGGCTGTCATAGCCCTCCTGCCTCTGAAGGGGCTTGCACCCACGTAGCTCACGGCAGGAAGGTCGATGCATTCATCCGGGCCGACAGACGCTCCTTGGTAGCATGAGCAGGAGCGACGCAAAGCAAAGCTGGATTCCCTGAGAGCACTTAGAGGTTACACAACGCTCCCCTTGTATCCTGCTGCCAGGGGTGCACAGGACAAAAGAAAAGCACCCCTTGCTCCCTAATGTCCCTTAAACGTTAGGGCAGAGTCTGTTTGCTATTTAGAAAGTATTTTTCACCAATTCCCCCTCGGAGCATCCTCGTATCTATCCATACTTGCGAGTTCCACATTCTTTGGAGATGTTTTTAATTAGCCGCCAGATACTTGCGCTTCATCAATGCACTCTGGAGAGTTTCAGCACAACTTTTTCAGTTCTTATGGTACAGAGACCTTGGTAACAACTAAAGGTATTGTTGACATTATTGAACATTTATATTTACTAGCTATTGGCCAGTTATGAAAATCTTTGATCGTGCATAAGGTCCACTGTGTGAGGGACTGTACTGCACAAGATACAGGTACCTTAATCATATAAAACTGAGTAACAAATGAGTGATAATTTCTAGTTGTAAGCAATATAAATTCAAATAAGAATAGACTAGAATAAAATTAAAACAAAAAACAAAAAAAAAAAACCCAGCGAAAGCACCATTCGTAAGTGGAGGCTACTGGTTTCACATAAAAATATTTTTTCTAAATACTATCAAGATTTTTATGGCCATTAAAGTTGCTTTTAAAGAGAGATGTGATCCCTTATGTATCAATAGAAAACCAGCTTTTTTGGTTGTATGCACTGGCCAGTTCTTGCAGGTAGAGCTGGAATTTAGTGTGCTGATAATTTAGAATAAAGAAGGCGCCACTCAGGAAAAACAGTGGAATGCACAAATCCAGTAAAGACAATTGCCATACCCAAGATGTCAGTGATGTTCCTGTCCGTGGGGCTAGGTCAGAGGAAAGGAATTCTGTTGAACTACAGCCTTCTGTAATCACAAGGGGAGAAACAGAAAGGTGGGCAGAAAGACAGGGACCAGCATTTGGAGGAAATACTGAAATAAAAGGGTAGGACTAGATAGAAGGAAAGTCACCATTTCTCAGCAAGTTACAAGAACTGTTTGCTAAGGATGTACACAAGTATTTGTGATCCTGCGTATTTGCATATACAGGAAATCTTTTATGAGGAGGGCACTTCCTGAATTACAGGGTGTATATATATCAGTAAAACGGAGCTGAGGGAAGTGAAGGCTTTGATGAGGACTGGTAGTGTGCTCTTGAATCTTGGGAAGATCCTATCTGTGGTAAGACTGTGGCTTGGACTGGTGGGAGGGAATTGGGTTTGCTTCTTGTCTCAGGGATTTTTGACTTTTAAAGGGTTACTGAGGGCGTCCATCGGGATACTGGTCTTCAAACAGAATGACTGTGTGCTGCAGTTATCTTTTGCTCTGTAACAGTCCGTTTGCCTTAGCAAATCCCTCTGCATCACTATATCCACACTGATACAAAAAGGTGCTGATATAGGAACTTTATTTCAGGCTCGTGATGCCATGGAGATTAACAGGGCTGCCAGAGGAGGGTTAATTTGTCTAAAGTTTATACCTGTTTAGCCTGGAAAGCAAGATCTTAAAAACTGCAAACCCCACAGTCACTCATTATCACCTTATGAATCTTTTCATGTGTAGCTGACACTGCCAGAGCAGTTGTATTTGTTTTTCCAAAAGGTGCTTATGGATTCTCACATACATATAAGAATCTGGAACTGTGAAACCCTTGAAAACAATTATGAATATTTTTTTTTTCTTGTTGATTGTGGATTCCTTGATCCACCATGGTTTTTAACTTTTGCGTCCTTACTCAAGGTATTTCGTGAACTTTACAGTAGATGGGTTTGTCACTGCGCAGAGAAAATCGCTGTCCAAAGGGAAATGAGGATAACTTTAATTTTAATTGTCCTGATCCTGCTGTTGCCAGTTTGAATGGCTGCGCTTTCGCAGCTCTTCCACCACAGGAAAGAAGGGTCTGCTGAGGAGAGATGGGCTGTATCTCACAAGGAAATATAAGTGCTGCTTCGAGATTGGGCTTGCCAACTTAGAAAAGAAGGCTTTAAACTAGACTTAATGGGGACTGATGAGAAAAGAATGTACGTGTTAACCATGGAAAGGTGACCAGAGGCATAGTAACCATGGATACAGGGTTTTCACCAAAAGGGTTGAAGCAATATGGAAAACAGAACAGTGAATATGACTGCTTAACATGTAAGATGTCTGTACTAGTGCAGGCTGTGTGGAAACAATGGAAGACTATACAACATTCTGTAGAAAGTTGTGATTTAGGCAACATAAATGTTGACTTGGTGGGATATTTAACTTGTTAATGAATTAATATAGAAAAAAAGGGGAGGTGGCTCCTGAAGAAAAGAGGAGAGAAGATAATGTTTCTCTACAAATATTTACCTTTGTATTGAAGTCTAGAATACATAGAGGGATAATCTGTTAAAAAAATCTTTTATGCTGCCAAAAGGAGAAAAAAGCCTGGGTGCTGCTATGTTGAGGACCACCAAACCAAGAAGGGTAAGACAGAAAGAACATTTCTGTAAACAACTGACAGAATAATTTGCCTTGAGGACAGACTAGTTAACCAAATACTTGTTGGGAAAAGTAAACTGAATACAGATTTTCCAGGAGGGGGATGTCAGGTTTTGACACAAAAGGTGTAGGTTGATGTGAGAATTTTCTTACAACTTTTTCAAGATTTTTAGAATGGAAAAGAGGAAGAATAGGAAAGAGTAACTACAAGAAATTAAAAGATCTCTTTGCAAAATCCTCTGAAAAAAGTCCAGAGAACAGGTTTGTCAGTTAATAAAAACACATATATTTAGGATATAGTTGCTGGATATCTTAGTATGGAACAGTGAAAACAAAAGTAATAAATCTTGTGGTCCTCAATGGTCTTCAAGAAGGAAGCGTAGTGGAAATAGCTAGAATTGCCTTTAAAGATGAGTCGTCTTGGACTTGTGTGCTTTTTGGAAAGTCCAAAGCACAAAAGTGAGATACCAGGAGGAAGAGCTGTGAAAGATAACAAAATAGCCCAAGAGTTCCTTATCGCTTATGCTATTCAACAGTAAGTCCCCTTCTGAAATAAGGGAGGACCAAGGAAAATTCTGGTCCGTGACCTCCCCGCGGAGAGTAACAGATGATGTCAGTGAAGGTATAACGTTTACTTAAACACACCGGTGTCAGCGGGCGGTGGATTAAG